GGGGAGCTTTATTCAGACCGTATGGCCCTGAAACCCATGAACCCTATAATGTTGCACGCCTTTCAACGTGTGTACTTGCCTACCCTCCCTGACCAGTTCATGAAACGGTCCTCTGGGGGAGGGCCCGATTGATTTCAAAGGCACACTGACAAGGATTCTTACGACGCCCGGGAAATTTGTATACCGATGAGTCGCGTGTGCGGCAAACTTGCTGTAAGAGGGGGGGGCTACTAAGCAGAGTGCCACAGTATAGCTTCTTTAGCTGTATGCTCACACGTCTCGCAAGGATCTGAGAGGGGAGCGAACGAAAGCTCAGAGCGCACAGATGGAGGCACTGTTCTTGACATGGTAGCAGTGGCCACAGAGGGGCTCATATGCCATGAAGAAGCATCTTCGGGCTTCTGGAGTTCGGCTTTGTAACTTCTTGTGCGGGCTAATGGAGAGCAGGCTGAAGTTCTCGGAATAGGGGTTGTGGGCTTGCCTCTAGAGGAGCTGAGACTCTTGCTAGTTTTCCTTATTTCAGCCAAAGCTTCTTGTTTAGGCCTAAGTATAGGGTTTTATCGCAAGGATACACAGGCTGCAAAGTCAGCCCATTGCGTGCTGTAAGAATGGTGCAAGTGCCGCTTGATTCGTTGCACAGTCCCAACGTCATCTCCGAGCTACTAGGACCTGGATTTTAACCCCTTGGCCCCTTGGCCCCTAAACCCTAAACCCTAAACCCTAAACCCTAAACCCTAAATAAAAGGGAACCTGCGAACCCTGGATGGCTCTGCGCACTTACAGGTGCTTAGCGAATCCGCTGGGGACTTCTTCTCCCTGCGCTTTATTCCCACACCGGGCTTAAGGTTTATAGGGTTTAGGGTTTAGGGTTTATGGATTTGCCTTGACTTAACTAGACCCAAGAGCAAACTGGGAATAAACAGGGTGCCCTTTTTGGTTTAAAGGGGCTTGTTCCGGAACCTCAACCCTAAGAAAAGGGAACAAGGGCCTTCTCGGGGTCCTAAGATTAGAACTGAAAAGGCTTCCGGCTGGCAGAGGGGTCCCCTTGTAAACCCCTTGAACCAAAAACGGCGCCCTTCGAATGTTTGAATCTCTGAGCCGAGGGTTTCGAGTTTGGCCTTTGCTCAGTCAAAGAGATGTATCAAGGGGTGTGGACCGGCTTTGATGGAGGAATGTAGCCCGTGTTCACTACTGAGACCTACATCGTGCCATTTGAAGCATTGAGAACGCGTTGCGCGCGACTGCCGTTGCAAGGAGGCCGGCCGAAGATGCGAGAAGCTTGGCCCTTGCTTGCTCCGAGCTGCTAAGGACTCCTGCCTGGACAAGCAGGAGATGGGTCAAGCAGAACATCAAAGAACACAGCACCTGCACCAAGAGATGCCATCGGCAGATCTTCCACTACACTGCTAGCTGCCAGGTGGCGATGTGGTGATGGTCAATGGTGGCATAGAGGGCAACGCGCATAAAGGTATTATCGGGCAGAGCTTTTTTAACTGGGTCTGTGTCAGGGCAGGCTCCAAAGTGCGTTTGACATGCAAGAATGCGGCCTACGGAGTGCGAGAAGCAAAGCTTTTCGGGCCGGGAAATGCACCGCTTTTGGCACATGCTCAGCGCGGATAGCTTCACATGCACACACCACCTGAGCAGCTGTGCAGACGGTGACGTTGCCCGCTGCTCTTGCAGAACGTCAATGAAACGGAGTCGCAACCTGCTCCAAGCCTGGCAGGCTTCGGCACGTTGCTTATTGTTGCCCTTCTGCACCCAGCTCTCCGAACACACTCAAGTAAGCGGGCCGACAACGTGCTCTGCACGGGCGGCCGACCACAGCCACATCAGCTGGCAAGGACAAGGCAACTCGGCCATGCGATCCTGTTTTCGATACAGGACTCAACCACCACGACGAAGGCCAACTCAGGCCGACGGTTCACTTCCGTTGGGGAGAGTGTGCAACCGCTACAGCACCGGAGCAATCTCAACGGAGCGCATGGCTTGACATAGAGTTGCAGGGGGCCCTCTTCCGCCGTGCACCACGTATTCTCGCCACACCGCTTGCAAGAGCAGCACCGCTAGAGTCAGAGACCATTTACACACTATTCGTCACGCGATGCTCCGAAGGTGGCTGCTGGACCTAGCAGGTGAGCCAAAACCACTTGCGGCTGAAAGGTGAAGAGCCCAATGACAGCACATCTGGCAGGCATGCCAGCACTGGTTGCCCTGACTGTGGCCGCATGAGAGCTGTGCCAGTTGGCATGCGGCGGAGCATACCCACGTTCAAGACCCGCAGACAAACACGCCTTGCCAGAATATTGACTTCGCTCGTCTCGCGATGCCCCGAAGCAAAGAACAACTGGATGGGCTTCATTGGATGAAGTTGAAGATCTGGAAAGACCCATCACATGCCTTGGCGCGTCAAAGTCGCATCTTCGCACCGCGTGCGAGGTGTGTTGTCGCTTCGCAGCCTGCGCGAAAGCGCAGCTCGATGCTGAAAGCGGACGGCTTCGTGACCAGCACCTTCAAGCAACGAATAGTTGCTGAGCTGCAGCGTCCCTAGCGAGTGCTCAGCGCAGCGGCGACCATGACAGAGGTTCGGCACTTCTTTGTGCCTAGGAAATGGCACCATGCTTAGGGGGGAGGCTCCAACACCCTAAGCGAAGGCGATACCATCCGGCGCAGTGTGAGAAGCAAAGCTGGACGAGTTGGCGACTCGCACACAGCTTGGCACATGTTCAGGACGAAAGGCTTCACCTGTTCAAACCAGGTTGAACACCTTTGGTGCTGTTGTTCTCTGTTCTTGCAGCCGGAAGTCAGTGCAACAGAGCCTCGCCAACATTCCTTGGCATCCATTAAAGTCGCATCGGTGCCCGGCATGTCAGGCACTTTGTCGCTCAACAGCGTGCTGCAAGTCTGTAAGCTTACAGCCTTGCGACCAGGATCTCCAAGCAAAGCAGAGTTACCGAACTGCACCGTCCCTGTCGGGTGTCCAGTCGAGTGGCCACCACGACGGAAGTTCGGCAGAGCTTTAGAAACTGGGCCCATGTCAGGGCAGGCTCCAAGGTGCGTTTGACATGCAAGAATGCGGCCTACGGAGTGCGAGAAGCAAAGCTTTTCGGGCTGGGAAATGCACCGCTTTTGGCACATGCTCAGCGCGGATAGCTTCACATGCACACACCACCTGAGCAGCTGTGCAGACGGTGACGTTGCCCGCTGCTCTTGCAGAACGTCAATGAAACGGAGTCGCAACCTGCTCCAAGCCTGGCAGGCTTCGGCACGTTGCTTATTGTTGCCCTTCTGCACCCAGCTCTCCGAACACACTCAAGTAAGCGGGCCGACAACGTGCTCTGCACGGGCGGCCGACCACAGCCACATCAGCTGGCAAGGACAAGGCAACTCGGCCATGCGATCCTGTTTTCGATACAGGACTCAACCACCACGACGAAGGCCAACTCAGGCCGACGGTTCACTTCCGTTGGGGAGAGCGTGCAACCGCTACAGCACCGGAGCAATCTCAACGGAGCGCATGGCTTGACATAGAGTTGCAGGGGGCCCTCTTCCGCCGTGCACCACGTATTCTCGCCACACCGCTTGCCAGAGCAGCACCGCTAGAGTCAGAGACCATTTACACACTATTCGTCACGCGATGCTCCGAACGTGGCTGCTGGACCTAGCAGGTGAGCCAAAACCACTCGCGGCTGAAAGGTGAAGAGCCCAATGACAGCACATCTGGCATGCCAGCACTGGTTACCCTGACTGTGGCCGCATGAGAGCTGTGCCAGTTGGCATGCGGCGGAGCATACCCAGGTTCAATACCCTTGTCAAAGTCAGATCTTCGCACAGCGGGCGAGGTGCGTTGTGCCTTCGCAGCCTGCGCGAAAGGGAAGCTCGATGCTGTGAGGGTGCAGCTTCGTTACCAGCACCTTCAAGCAACAAAGAGTTGCTGAGCTGCAGAGTCACTGTTGTCCCTGTCGGGTGTCCAGTCGAGTGGCCACCACGACGGAAGTTCGGCAGAGCTTTAGAAACTGGGCCCATGTCAGGGCAGGCTCCAAGGTGCGTTTGACATGCAAGAATGCGGCCTACGGAGTGCGAGAAGCAAAACAATTGCTCATTATCAGACATGTGTCCCTCCCAACCCGCCCGGCTTTTCTTCAATGAAAAGGACGGAAACATGTTGCACTGACATCTACAGTCAGATGCTTCCTGGAACCCCAGGCCTGTGCTGTTGCAGATGGTTGGGGTGCATCTTGCCAGCCCCGGACCTGCCATACAGCAGGGTAAGAGATTCAATCTCCTCATCCCAAGGGTGGGTCGGGTGGGATCAAAATCATCCTTGCGCCAAAATGGCACGGAGTCATCTCCCTTACCCTCCCCCCCCCGCGGAAAATGCTGTGACATTCTCAATTGTTAATGCGGCATTTTTCATGCCTTCTCAACAATTGCTCATTATCAGACATGTGTCCCTCCCAACCCGCCCGGCTTTTCTTCAATGAAAAGGACGGAAACATGTTGCACTGACATCTACAGTCAGATGCTTCCTGGAACCCCAGGCCTGTGCTGTTGCAGATGGTTGGGGTGCATCTTGCCAGCCCCGGACCTGCCATACAGCAGGGTAAGAGATTCAATCTCCTCATCCCAAGGGTGGGTCGGGTGGGATCAAAATCATCCTTGCGCCAAAATGGCACGGAGTCATCTCCCTTACCCTCCCCCCCCCGCGGAAAATGCTGTGACATTCTCAATTGTTAATGCGGCATTTTTCATGCCTTCTCAACAATTGCTCATTATCAGACATGTGTCCCTCCCAACCCGCCCGGCTTTTCTTCAATGAAAAGGACGGAAACATGTTGCACTGACATCTACAGTCAGATGCTTCCTGGAACCCCAGGCCTGTGCTGTTGCAGATGGTTGGGGTGCATCTTGCCAGCCCCGGACCTGCCATACAGCAGGGTAAGAGATTCAATCTCCTCATCCCACACTTCCAAGGGCAGGTGAGGTGCACCGAAACTTTCTCACTTAGCTAGCTCCTGCAAGCATCCTGCCGCCGCGCATTGTCGGCACCCGTCAGGGAAAGCCCGCAGCAGTGTGAAGCCTGGGCGTCCTCTATACTCGCAACCGCAAGAAGTGAACGATTCGTTCTTGACTGCATGGACAATCGAGCTTGCCCAGTTGACAACGTAGCGAGGCAAGAAATGCCTTTGAAATTCAATGCTCCAAGCATCCTTAACTTCTTCTTGGGTCTGCTTCAACTCTTTCACCAGCGACAAAATGTCATCTTCTCTCTGCTCAAATGTGCCCAGCAATTGCGTGACTCGCGGCTCCAGGGCTTTAGTGATTTGATCGTCGATGGCATCCTTGAGGTGAACATATGTCCCGTCTTGACAAGACAGAGTCGACGCAGTCTGCACTTGCACTTCTTCAACAGAAACATTTTGCAGGCTGGAGGGCAACCACTTTTCTGAACCTTCCAAAGGCGCATCCCTCAAATACCGCAGAACCGTGTCACTTCCCCAACGACAGAAAAGCTGTATTCGATAGTATTCAATACCCTGCCTAGCAAGGAATTGCGCGCCCGTAGACCTGAGCACATGCCCCGTCAAGGCCTGAACTGCGTCCTGTCTCCAGCCCATCGCCTGAGCGACCGAACGAAACATGTCAACCATGGCTTTCTTGCTTGGTGGCTGGTGCACATCATGCGTGGCTAGGAATGGTGAGTCCGCACTCCCACCCCGCGCTGTGCCATCATCATAAATCATACGGGCAGCCCTTACTGGACACAACTCTGGAGAGGTGCTGCATGTGCAGCCTTGTTTGCGGATGACCCCTTCCGCCTTAGGGTCATTCTTTGTGGCAGGCAGGCTGAGGATGACCACTCCGCAGGTGCCTTCCTTGTCTTCAAAAGTGACTTGGCTGCGTTTTCGACACGCGGCCTCCACTTCTCTGCAGGCAAAAAGACTGAACAACACCACGGTAGCCACAGGGAAACGCGGCCAACCTGGCTGAACCTCTGGCTCCTGGACTTCTATCACACTGCGCAGATCAAAGGCCTGACAATGCTTGTCAGGGCCTATACCCCGAAGACAGGACCGCAGGGCGTCCTTAACTGCCAGCGTCAGACGATCACTCCAGGGGTGGTCCAGCTCTATGTGCCGTCGCTTTAGTGCACCGAAATAAGCGCCTGCAGATCTGTAGCCCCCAGCCTTCAAGAGCGCGCCAGCCAAGGCGACCTTTGAGAACGTCAACGGGTAAGGAAGCACATTCGCCGTCTCTGCCCGGCGTGCCCACCAAGCCTGGCGTGAGTCTGCGTTCCCAACATTTGAAGAGGCGAACTTATCATTCTCGAATTCTTCCAGCGCCTGCATCAAAGCTTCCGGGTCCCTCTCTATTTGGCTCACCAGGGCCTCCGAGCCCCTGCTGTAGGGCTTCACTCCAGGCTCCGCTTGCCGGAACTTCTCTGCAGGCGCTGACTTCTTGGAACCAGGAAGAGCCTCGTCCACGGACAGCTGCTGCCCAGGAAGGCAACGCGCTGCTTCTTCTGCTGTCGCAAACTTCGCTATGCCAGGCCAGCCGTCGTCGTCTCTACCAAGATTCCCGAAGATGTGCCCAGTTTCCTCACCTTCGCTGCAAACTTCGCCACCTCCGTGGCTGTGGCTGTCTGATGAAGCATGTGTCCGTGTAGGAGAGGGCAAGTGGGAGCCATCTACCCCTCCCTCCCCATATGGCGCACTGCCCACGACCGCCACGACGGCGGGGCAAGCGTGTGCATCATGACATGGTTCATGAAAAGGGCCATCATCGCATGCTTGACAATATGTAGGCGCATCAACAGGGTACAAACAAAGGACACAATAAGCTGTTTCGCTTGGCAACCCTGCATCCACCAGCTGGGCAGTAGAGAGCTGGGCCTGTAACGGGACCGGCGTAGCGTATAGAGCCGTGGGTGGCACAAGGAGGCCGCTCCACGCTGTTCCTTGGCCTTCCGGGGGGGACTCTGGATGCGGCCGTTTCATGGCGCACGACTACACCACCTTAAGGCAGAAAAGAACAGAACCGACAGGCCTGCGAAAGTATCAGCGAAAGCAAACTGCACGAGCAACACGCAACTCCACAGAGAACCAACCCACACCCTCAATACTCACGTGCGAGCAAGCAAACATGCCAGGAGTACGTGGGCAGTCCTTGCCCGAGTTGCAGCCTAAACGGCTTTCTGAAGGGATCAACCCGGACTGTGAGCAGCACAGTACGCAGCACACTGCGGCAGCGGTTTCAGCTACTGCTCTGGTCTGCCCGAACAACTGGTGCGTACCGCCACAGGACAGGCCCTTGCCTGTGCAGCGGTAGATGCCGCAACTCCGGCGGCACTGTTGCTGGCTTGCGTGGATCTGCGAGTCTAGACAGGGCATCAGCCCAAGCATTGTCCTCGCTCCACAAATGGATCGCCTCTAGCGATCTGTGCGTAAGGGCCAAGTGCAGAGTCACTTCTCGCACTATCTTGGAAAGCGTATGAGACTTACTACTACGCTTTACGAAGCTTTGCAAAACACCGGCAGCATCACCACGGATCCTGACTTGACCTTCGAGCTCCGGTGTGAGCCACTTCCACAGAGCCCTCAAAGCCATGTAAGCTTCCCACTGCGCTTGCGATGCGGCTTGCCCAATGTGGGCACCAATGGCCCCTTCATCGGTCTTTTGCCAAGTCAAGCAAAAACACTCAACTGGGCAACCGTTCACTAGCCTCACAGCGCCACCACCCCACGGCGAAGCATCCACAAGGAACTCTAGGCACACCTGGTGGCGCACATGTGCTCGCACTGTCCGGTGAAAGCCATTGTTGAAGCCGTCGAAGAGTGCAACAAGCCAGGTCAAGGCATGTTTCAGCTGTTTGGCGTAAACCACTTGCTTGCTCACATTCAAAGCAGCATAGAGCATCTGCACATACGGTTTTGCCTGCAGAATTACACCAGCCGCCCATGACATCTTTCCTGCAAATTTCTGAACGGCCCTGCGCGAGGTCCAAGGTCGCTTCAAGATTGCAACAGCTGCTTGCCGCCAGTCTTGAATTTTGCTTGCCGGTATGCTGACTTCAACAGCGCGCTGGGTCCGATCTGCTTTGAGCACAGCGCCAATCCAATGCGCCTCGGGCCCCAAGGAACCTTTTGGCCAAGCCAGCTTTAACCCGAGGGCTAACCAGAACCACAGCACGCGCGCAGCAGCCCAGCGCACCATCGATTGTGTACCTTTCAAGGCAATGAGTGGATCATCAATGAACAGTTCCAGGCGGCTCTCAACTGAGCTGGTTAAGGCTTGGGTGGCTCGCGACACCAAAGCCGCCACTCTGCACCACACCAGCGGGCCAGTGCGCACCCCGAAAAGTACTGTTTTGTAGTAGAAGTACCGACCGTCAGCCTGTCCTGCCAAATACCGCTGTTCACTCTGTTTTGTAGGCAGCTGCTTGAAAGCATCCTTAAAGTCCAGCGTGAGCCAGAGCACTTCTTCTTCTGGTAAAAGCCCACTTTCAAACAAAGAGACAGCATCTTCAATGGCATCTTTCAGCCTCGGCAGAATCAGTCGCTCCTGCACCTGAATCTTGCTGTTTACACCATTTCTGCGCAGATCATGCACCAAGCGGTACTTGTATCCCCCTCCAGGCTTGCGCTTGGCCACTACACCGATAGCCGCAAGCACCAGTGGTCCAACTTGGCTTTCAAGTGTTGCACGATCAGCGTCTGCTTGCGCAAATCCTGCTTCGACTTCTTTTCTGAACAGCTTATCAGCATGCTCTCGGTGCTCTTCGTAGGACTGGTAGTTGTACTCTGCTCCGCTCATCTCATGACAAAACTCCAGTCGCGCAGCTTCTCCGACTTGCTCTTCTGCCGATAACCGTGGAAACACCCCGCCTGGAGGGATCTCCTCCTCGATGCCGAGCGGCGTTCCTTCCTTTGGCCACTTCGCCGCGGGCAAGTCAGGATCGCCGCTTGCTTGAACCAGCGCCTGTAGCAACTCGGACCACAAGCCTGGCTGGCGCGGTATGTCTTTCAGTCCCAGCAATGACGCTAGCTTGCTTTGCACTAGACGCACATCAGCGTCCCTGTAAAGTGGCTGGTCTCGACCTACAGACTGGACCACCTGAAGCATGTGGGAGTTCTCCTGAAGCACTTGATCTAAGCAGTGTCTTACTGCCATTCCCACCGTCTTCCATCCAGGTAGCTTCTGCATTGAACGATGCGCCGCACGCAGGCCTCCAATGCAGGCTTGGTTTTCTTGTTCTCGCTCACGCTTCCTTGAACCTTCTGGTGCACGTACTTCTTCGTCGCGCCACGGCTCAGTGTCTTTGGGACAGTTGAGCGGAGACTGCACCAATGCTGCGCAGTAAGCCTCCGCCGCCACCTCGCAGAGCCCTTGAGGGTACTCAGACACCAGCACAGAGTCCTGTCGCCCTTGCAACCTTCCATGTTGATGTTCCGGTGGCCCGGGACAACCCCGTGCCAAAGCTTGAAGAAAAGCAGCGTTTGTGAGCCACTTCATAGAGTTCAAGTACTCGCCCGTGAAGCAACACTGGTCACACTTTAGTTGCCCTACACCCTCGAGCTTCGCCAGGGACTTGTAGGGCGGGTAGCTCCACAGCATGGAGCTCGCAGGTGCCTCGATACTGAACCAGCCTCCAGCCCGACGCTGTGCTCTCGCCAGTTGTGAGGCTCTTGCGGCTAGTAAGTTTGCCTCCACTACCCGCTTAGAACGCGGAGCTTGCCCTTGTGGTCGGCGAGTTGTTCTGAGCTGCTTCGCCCTTGCACTGTGCCCAGAGCTCCTGGCCTTGCCAAAAGTCCTACGCGGGAAAGCCGCGTGTAGCCACCGCACTTTGCCCTCTCGCACCAAAAGTCTTATACTACGGAAAACACTCAAATCTAAACGGTCAAAAGCATTGCCAAGTTTCTCAGCAACCTGTGAGTTTGGAATGGCCAAGACTCGAGCTCCCCGCGCTCGAACTGCGCGGCTCAGCCCGGCTGCCCCTGCGAAAAGACCCAGGAAGCCAGCTTCACTTTGCTCGGTCTCAGTAGTCGTTCCAGCGTTGCCTTGTCTAACTGAATTCTGCTTGCAGGACCCCGCACCTGACGCCGCCATTCTAGCTTTCAACGATTCCAACCTTCCCTTCAGGAAGGGCAGATCCACTGATGTCGGCGGCTGTGCAGGGGCTTCTTGCGCTCACTGTCGCCTCTGGGAGCGTCCACGTCCCCCTTTGCCCTTTCCACCTCCGCGACCTCGCAGAGTGCTCAAGCTTTTCTCTTCAGGGTTCCATCCCGGGACTTGCGGGCACTGGATCGAGCGATGCAGCTGCCGGCACCACTCACAAACGTGAAAGGGGCATGGCTCCAGGGTCGGATGGGCTAGATGAAAGGAGTGTTGCCGACGCTGTTCCTGCTGCCACCATTCGCTTCTGCAACGGATGTCCGCCTGTGCAGCCAAATGCCACACATCCGGGTACTCCGCCACGCGGTTGCGGAACTCAGCACTGTACCTGTCCAGCACCGCCGGCTTGGCAATGTCAAGCATGATACAGGCTGTGCGAAAGATGCGCCAGCTCTCTTCCCAAGCCAAGATATTGGCTGCGCCGGGCAGTTCCACGGCCTTCCACTGCCCATCCTTCAAGGCCTGCGAGGTGAACTTCATCGCTCTAGCGATCCGATCCCCATACGGGCCCCACACCCCCATGTCTATGAAAGGTGCCTGCCCACTCTCGACCTTCGCCCGCAGGCAGCTCAACTGGGCGTCCGTCACCTCCTCCTTTTCCAAAGGGGAGTCGCCAGTGCTAGCAATGTAACGTTGCCGACAAGCCAGCAACTCGACACTGCTGAGCATTTCGCAATCTTGGTCGGCCCCTTGATCCACCACTTGGCTCAACTTGAGCTTCACGCGAGGTGTGGTTGCAGGTGCTGCACTAGTAGGCACAGTCGATGCTGCCAAAGGCTGCTGTGCAACACTCGCAACACCTTCAAAGGCAAAGCTGAGCCCAAACTTCTTCCTGACTGCGTTCGCCAACAATCGCATCTGACCCTTTTCAAAGGAAGTTAGTTCTCTTGAACCGATCCGCGCTTGCGTCAAAGCATCTCTCCACTCCTCTGGGAGGACGGCAGCGAACAAAGTCAGCTGAGTCATGTCAGGATTTCCGAGTTGCCGTGCGACTGATCTCATCAGGTTAGTGGGGACTGCTGCCCACTGCATCGCATCATTCAGCGATGTCCAGCCTTCAAGTACAGCATCAGACGGCAACAAATAGGCCATGGCGTCACCCCGCCCTATCAAAATCATCCTTGCGCCAAAATGGCACGGAGTCATCTCCCTTACCCTCCCCCCCCGCGGAAAATGCTGTGACATTCTCAATTGTTAATGCGGCATTTTTCATGCCTTCTCAGCTTTTCGGGCTGGGAAATGCACCGCTTTTGGCACATGCTCAGCGCGGATAGCTTCACATGCACACACCACCTGAGCTGCTGTGCAGACGGTGACGTTGCCCGCTGCTCTTGCAGAACGTCAATGAAACGGAGTCGCAACCTGCTCCAAGCCTGGCAGGCTTCGGCACGTTGCTTATTGTTGCCCTTCTGCACCCAGCTCTCCGAACACACTCAAGTAAGCGGGCCGACAACGTGCTCTGCACGGGCGGCCGACCACAGCCACATCAGCTGGCAAGGACAAGGCAACTCGGCCATGCGATCCTGTTTTCGATACAGGACTCAACCACCACGACGAAGGCCAACTCAGGCCGACGGTTCACTTCCGTTGGGGAGAGCGTGCAACCGCTACAGCACCGGAGCAATCTCAACGGAGCGCATGGCTTGACATAGAGTTGCAGGGGGCCCTCTTCCGCCGTGCACCACGTATTCTCGCCACACCGCTTGCCAGAGCAGCACCGCTAGAGTCAGAGACCATTTACACACTATTCGTCACGCGATGCTCCGAACGTGGCTGCTGGACCTAGCAGGTGACCCAAAAACCACTCGAATGACACCACATCTGGCAAACCAGGACTGTTTGGCCTGACTGTGGCCGCATACGAGAGCTGTGCCAGTTGGCATGTGGCGGAGCATACCCACATTCAAGACCCTTGTCAAAGTCAGATCTTCGCACAGCGGGCGAGGCATGTTGGGGCTTCGCAGCCTGAACGAAAGGGAAGCTCGATGACGACCAGGATCCGCAGGCAACGAAATCCAGCAGGGTGACGGGTGACGTTGCTCTGTGTTCTAGAAGTCAGTGACATGGAGTCGCAATCTGCTGCAAGCGTCGGCACGCATCTTATCCAGAAACGCTCGTCTGTGGGCTGAACTCTGGGCCTGCGCTGTAGAACTTGAGAAATTTAGAATCCTTAGGTAAAGAAGGGAGGGCCATGGCACGACTGGTGAGCTGGCGCTGGAGCCCGGTAGAAGTCCTGAAGCCAAACTGCGGGGCCGTGAGAGTGGCAGGGAAGAAGGAGATGTTAAGCTGGCAGTGGCAGGGGAGTCTGTAGACAGTGGGGGCACCTCCGCTAAATGGGTCTGTGCCCAGCTCCGGGATTTGAGCATGGTCCCGTCATTTCACAAGGGTTTTGATCCCATGCATGCTGCAAGAAAAGCTTGGGGTGTCGCTCGGCTTGTTCGATGAGTTGCGAGATGCAGAATGCAAACCCCTGCCACCACAATTTCGGAGCATCCCGTGCAGACTCGGACCCCAGCAAGTTTACGAGCCAGGAGAGTGACGTGGGGGGGTTGGGGTTGGGATGGGCCAGGACCTTTCCGAGGCACCTTGAGCTCAAACACTGCTGGGCGCCTTGGGCGGCGCTCTGAAACCTTAAAAAGCCTTCCCAAGCTTTGAGGGCTCAGACTTGCTTATTCAGCGGCTGTCGCATTTCAAGTGGTCCGTACTTGGAGTCCGGCTCTAATTAACTCACAAGAGCCGCGGTTTTTCACTGATGCTCAAATGCACCGAACACACTTATAGGCTTGCAAGCAGGCTGCCAGGCATTGTCGGTGTTACGGTCTGCCAGGGCCACCTCAGACCACAGCAGCGTCAGCTCACCTTCACAGGACAGTCATGCGAAAGCAGCTCAGGGGCCTGGGTCTTAGCTCCTTGGCGAGAGCGATGCTTGCGAAGCAGGTCGTGCAGGAGAAGCCAGGAGAAGCCAGGCCAGCGACACAGGCGACACGGGCGGCACGGCCCTCACAGACTCAGAGACGCAAAACGCCATCGCCGGCCGAGACTCCTTAAGCCTTGAAGGGCTGTGTCAGAGAAAGCTGCACAATGCTTCACACACTCGCACGCCTGCGCCTCTCACACTGCGAGCCATCTTGCAGGGAATCATCAGAACTACGTCGGCCTCTGGCCCCTCGGCTCCGCTGCCCTGCCACGTCACCTGCTGCCCGCTCTTCCTTCGAAACCTCAACCTGCCCCAAAAACAAAGCATCCCTCGACGGCAATCTACAGGCTCAAGAAAGGGGGTTAGCAAGCTGAGGGTTTAGGGTTTAGGCCCTCCTTCTCATGTTACTTGAGCTACCGTCAAAACTCTACATGTCGGGCCTAGGTCGCGCAACAGGAGGCCTCGCTTTTCGGTGTTCCCCGTCGCCTTACAGGGCTTTGGCTATGGGATAACGGGGCGTCGCTTCTCGGCGTTACCCATCGCTTTGCAGGGTTCTTCGGACCTTGAGCTGCAAATCTCCTCCCAAGGTTAAGTCGCCTTTAAGGGTTTAGGGTTTGGGGCCAGAGTTTTGACCCTTGCTCATTTGGCGTTGCGTAGTTGTTCATTGAAGGCATACCATATGTACAATTGAATACTTTGAATGCTGAACATTGACTTGGAAGGTCAGCTTTTCAGACAGGACGGAGCTTGGAGTCGAACTGGTGCAGGGAGGGGGAGGGCTGGGCCCCATGCAGAACCTCATTTTGGAGGCCAGGGGTTTAATTAGGGTTTAGGGCTTAGGGTTCAGGGACCTCATTGCGGAGGCCGAGTTTGACAATTTCCCCTCAAAGAAGAGCCTCAGGCCCTGGGTTCTAGTAAAGTTCACCCGCTCACGCATCACGTCGGGAGCACGCAGGCTACTTTCCCCTCATGGCTACTGCATTTGCAGTCAAGGGATCCGGACTGGAGCGCCATGACGCGGCTAATCATGGCAAATCGGAGACCTGTCCCCGCTCCTCCCTGCAATGGCCCATGGCAAACCGCAGTGCGAACAAGCTTGCGCAAAGCTTGCGTTCGCCCTTGTGCGAGCTCGCGCACACTCGACGCGCGCGCACGTTATTCAGAAACCGAATTTTGACTAATCGCCGTCATGGTCATGTCACTCCAAAAAAGAACAACCCTCACATGAAGGCTCGAAGGTCTGCGGAACACAGGTCACGGGCGAGTGCATTTCCAAGCGCCTCTGAAGCAGTTGCTGTTGCAGCCGCCAGTCTTTCCCGCACTGGTCGACGCCCAGTGCGCCTGGGAGCAGAATGAAGATTACTTTACTGGGTGAAGGCTCTCAAAGTCCAGTTTTGTGCGCGTGCGTGCGTGCAGGACTTGCAAGGGTCTCTCTGGGGCCTTGGGTGTTGGGATTATGTCACTATATGGGTAGTTGTAAATAGGGTTCCGGGTTAGAAGTACCCTAAGTAGGGCTATACGTGTTGTTTATTATAACCCAACTGAAAACTACCCGTGAAACCTCCAATAGGCCGCCTCTTTGAAGGCACTTCAACCCGAAGCCAACATGCCTTAAGAACGCCTTGAGCCCTAACCCCAACACCAAAAAACTCATGACCAATTCCTCCCTATGTGTTGGTATACATATTAACATAGAAACATACATATATATATATATATATTTATTTATTTATTTGTTTTTCCCTCCCCCCCCCCCCCCACCCACGACCTACTGCAACAAATCGTCCCGTGCCATCCCACCAAAGCCCGCACGCCTCACCTGTCCCAATGGCATCGTCCCGCCAAACCTCGCATCCCGCAAATTCCCAGGATTTAGGGTTTAATTAGGGTTTAGGGTTTCCCGCCAGCCGTACCGTCCCACATGGCGTCCTGCAAAAGCTCGGCGTATCTGGCTAAGAAAACAAACATCTCCATTAAAACATAAAAGTAATTGTTTTTCGAGCGCTGTTTTACAGAAAGTTGTCAGAGCATTTTGTTTGGGGGTGACATTAGAACAAAACCTTTAAAACAAAAATCAAAAAACAAACAAACGCAAAGGAAAACGTACGTATTTCGTGTGTAAGACACGAGCCCTGCTGTGTCTGACTTGGGAAGAGTGCTTCTTGTTTTTGTTTTTTGCTGTCGTGCTTTTTTGGCTGGGAGGGGCGCAGACCCCCACCCTTCCCCCCCCCCCCCCCCCTGCTTGCAAACACAATGCTCGCATGATGGGTTTCAGATCTCATATGCTTTGAAGCAAGCTTGCACGGCTATCAGGGCTGGGGGGGGGGAGCCCTGCTCGCGTCATAGGCTTCAAAGAGACTCATATGCTTTGAAGCAAACTTGCACAGCCTAGAAAAAAAAAGCGGGGGTGCCGCCCCCACCCACCCCCCGGCCCCATTTGCCAACACACTGCTCGCGTGATGGGTTTGGAAAAGACTCATACTGCATGCTTTGAAGCAAGCTTGCACGGCTTCAAAAATGGGGGGGGGGTTGGGGGGCGGGGAGCGGGTGGGGAGGGGCGCATTTGTTGTTTTTGCTGTCGTGGCAGGGGCGCTTTCTTTTGTTGCTGTCGTGGGGGGACGGGGGGCTCACTCAATCACTTACTGGCCCGCCACGGCCCCTGTTTCTTGGAGCGCATTGTTTTTTGCTGTCGTGGCTTTTTTTCTTTTTTTTTCTGTCGTGGCGGGGGCGCGTTCTTGTTTGCTGTCGTGGCGGGGACGGGGGCTCACTCGCTCACTGGCCCGCAGGGGGCGCGCCTTTACAGCAAAAAAGCCACTGCAGCAAAAATCTCACGGGTTCCCGTCTTACTCTCCAGAAATAAAATTTAGCTGATGCAAACTGGTTAACAAAGGAATCCTCAAAGCCAACTTGTGTTATTGCATTAGTACAATTGCTTCCTGAATGTAATTACCTTAAGAATTTGATTGGCCCGTAGTTAACTTTTTGCTTTCTACAGTAATTAGGTTCGCAAAGCCAGCTTTGATTCTTTAGCTAACTTATTGCAGATCAATGACACTGATTAAAAGTTCAAGACCTCATCTTCCATGACCCTCATGCAAGGTGCCCCCCCCCCCCCCGCCCGGATGCCTGGATGAGCGACACCGGGTTCCATGGCGAATGGACCGCAGGGAGGTCTTCTGCAAAGCAGGCGAGCCATGTCTGTTGGGGGCACCCTCGGGTCAATCGATGGAAAGTGCTTCTCTTGTTTAGGGTTTAGGGTTAGGGTTTTTGCCGCCACAAGAACTGAAGATAACCGACAGTATGTACAGGACAGTCAATGACATGACAACAACTGTGACTGCCCATCGCCAAGTCGTGCCTAGTCACCATGGCAACGCTTAGGTGGACATGCAAAAAATGTCAAGGCAATGCAATCTTGCAACGGCAAGAGCTGGAACCACAGATGAGCACAGCAAACATCAGCAAACCCTACAAACGCAAAACCACGAAAGCTCAGCCCCTCACCCTGGCACCGAAACACGGATATGCAAGCCCAAGTGCCGACTGGATTGACTGGATCCCAAACGCTGCGCCCTGTGCAACTCCCGGAATGAAGGTGGAGGTCACAGCCCTGCAAAACATCCAGCTCACAACCCCACGAACCCCGTGCTCCTGAGGGTTTAGGGCTCAGGGTGTCTTCGGAATTAGATAGCTTCCAAACACATCCTGTGCACCAGAAATACTTCTGCAGCCAAGGAGATCTCATGCACTATCCTGGCCCCCTGCTGTGCGGGCAGGGTTCACAGGGGTTTAGGGTTTAGGGATTTGGGGGAACCGGGCCAAAACGGGACCAACTTCGTGCGCATGCCCAGGATCTCCGCTTCAAACTGGTTTAGGGTTGAGGGTTTAGGGTACTTTTTCACCCTAATTTTGACTGTACTTATGAGCCCCCTGAGTTCCCGAAGTAGGTTGTAAAGTAGACTTATAATTGGGGTTAGAAGTAGTCATGAACCTCCAAGAAAGGTGTGAAAGGCGACCTGGATCTTTTTCGCTCCTAATGATGCCTAATGCGCCCTAATGCACGGCAAGGAGATTTCTGGAAGAGCCGGCGAAGACTATCAGAGGGGATCTCACACGCTTTTGGACGCCACATGCATAGCCATAGGAGCCAAAGTGGAAAGAAGGCAAGAGTAGTGAGATCCCACTATACTTGCAAAGCTCCAGCCCCAGGCCAGAAAGACGCTCCCTACACGCCAGGCTGGTGTTACCAGTCAATGCGAAAAATGGTCAAAAGGCACGGCGTTTCGTGCCCGAATGCATGGCAGTCTTGCTGCTGCCGAAAGCAAAAGCTTAAGGGACATTGCCCACAAAATCTTGGGTATTCCTTGCATCGCCCTAAGGGTCCATGTACCTAAATACGGAATGCGCGGGCCTTTTGGGGCCCAACTATATAACCACAAGGTACATGGACCCTTAGGTTCATGGCTAAAACGCCTTTTCTCAAGCTGCCCAGCTACTATTTGCTTAAGAACCCCAAAAGAATAGAGAAATAACAATCCCTATATTAACCTTATTGAGGAACAGTATTTTTTCGGGGGTTCTTAAGCAATGAGTAGCCGAAATTGCGCCTAGAAGATGTCTTCCCCAATGATCAGGGAGGAGATGTCCTCGAAATGCTTGACCAAGTTCTCCAGGGATCGGATGGCCACAACTCCCCGAGCGTGAGGGTCGTGAACCAAGCACATGGGCCTGTCACTTGGCATTGCCGGCCTGAGTTGCCGAATATCCACCGGTTTAGGGTTTAGGGTTTAGGGTTTAGGGTTTAGGGTTTAGGGTTTAGGGTTCAAGAACGCTGCTCGCCACTCTAACACAGACATGCTTTCCTTGAAGTGCAGGGCCAGGTGGCAGGTTGTCCGTGAGGTGTCGGTACAGGCGCTCTCGCTCATCTTCTGAGATGCCGCAGTCGGACACTTTCTCCACCTTCTTTGGTAGCCCAGCAACCACCCTAAACCCTAAACCCTAAACCCTAAACCCTAAACCCTAAACCCGAAACCCTGAGCCAACTACTTTATCAGGGAAGCTCAGAACCAAATTAAAGGGTAAAGGGTACCACTGGGCTCCCAAGCCTTCGTCAGGGGCCCAATCAGGCTCCTACCTGTCCTATGCCTTCTAAGAACTGAACCCCAAACCCTGAACCCTAAACCCTCAACCCAAAATCTTAAATTTTAAATCTTAAATTAAAAAACAAATAAAGCCCATAACGCCCATAAAGCCTATAAACCCTGCACTAGCGCAGAATCGTTGGAGGGTCTTCGGCTCGAATTCGTAGCTGCCCCATGGTTCAACCCGTGAAACAGAACGAAGTGCGGAACAACGGGCTTAGGGTTTAGGGTTGTTGCCTTAGCCTTTGGCACCTCTTTCATCACGTCGCTTTTCAGCGGCATCTCACTCGTGTGCCGCAAGGTCTGGCACAGCACCTGCAACAACGCTTGGGGATTGGGGCGGCTGAGGGCTTTTAGGGCTCCTGCGTTTCAAACACAAAGCCGCAACATCCTAAACCCGAAGCCCGAAACCCTAAGCCCTAAACTCTAATGGGTGGGCACTCTGCCTGCAGCACCTTCATGGCGAGACCCTCGAGACGATGTGTCAGGTCCTGTCTGGCTTTGGGCACAAGGAAAACTTTCTTTCTTTGCAGCTTCTGGGGTTTCGGTAGGGTTTAGGGTCTAGGGTTTAGGGTTTCGGGCTTCGAGTTTCGGCACCTTCAAGTCGTTGAAATCCAGGGCCCATAAGGAACCACAAGCCCCTCCTTGCGGTGAGGAGTTTGAGCTTTGGTCTTGTTGCCACTTGTCCAAGTTCAGAGCCTGAATCCTATGAAGCCTAGGAACCCCCAAATGGACCGTAAACCTCAGAAATTTTGAACCCTACCAACCCACACCCTAACCCTGAAGCCTAAGCCATGAGCCATAAGTCATACCGCACTGCTCACTGGATGTGGAATACTTGCCACTGGAGTCTGGCAATGTGACGAAAATAGGGGCACCCTTTGGACACCCCCAAAACGGGGTACCCCCATTTTCGGAAACCCTAAACCCTGAACCCCCCCCATGTCGGCTGGTCCTGAATTTCGGGGTGCTCCGCCAGCGGCTTCAGAATCAGCGAGGTGCGCTCAGCAGCGTCTGCAACACCATCCTGGTCCACGCAGGCTGTCCAGAGCCTCACCAGGCTATCAAGGGACTAGGAGGGTTCAGGGTTTAGGGTTAGGGTTTAGGGTTTAGGGTTTAGGGTTTAGGGTTTAGGGTTTAGGGTTTAGGGTTTAGGGTTTAGGGTTTAGGGTTTAGGGTTTAGGGTTTAGGGTTTAGGGTCAGTTCATAGCCTATCATAGCTTTGCTGAAGCCATCTTCTTGTTCCGGTTCCTCGCTGAGGTTGCGGCCCATCCTCTGTTGGTTCGGTGTCTGCCACTTCCCACTTAACCTAGACCCACGAGTAGCCCAGGAATAAAATGGGCACCCTTTTTGGTTTTAAGGGGCTTGTAAGGGAACCCCAACCCTAAAAAAAGGAAATAAGGGCCTACTCTGAGTCCTAGTAGCCCTAAACCCTAAACCCTAAACCCTAAACCCTAAACCCTAAACCCTAAACCCTAAACCCCGAAGGACATGAGAGCAGCTCAGGAGCATGTTAAAGTCAGACTGAAGGAGGCTCATCTTCTCCACGCTGGCGGAGTAGAGGCGATACCTGGGGCAAAGATCTACTTAGAGGTTCATGGGTAGCTATAAAAAAAGGTTGTAAGGGTTTAGGGTTTAGGGTGGGGTTATAGGTACCTTAAGTAGGGTTATAAGTATAGCTACCATAATTTTAACTTCCTATGAACCTCCAAGTAACCCTACTCCTCTGAGAGCGTGCGCTTGCCTTTCCTCTATCCAAGGTTTTGAGCACTGAGCAGACATCTCCCCGAGGCAGACAGAGGGGAAGACAAAGAAAGACAATTCTATGTATATATATATATATACATAGAGAAACCCAAAAGCCTAAACCCTAAACCCTAAACCCTGAACCCTGAACCCTGAACCCTAAACCCTAAACCCTAAACCCTAAACCCTAAACCCTAAACCCTAAACCCTAAACCCTCAAAAAGCGAAGGATGGAAGCACAGCTGAGGAGCTTGAAGGGAGCCCCCCAGCATTGCGCCAGCTGCACCTTTCTTCTACAGGCTCCGCCGGACGAATTTGGGGGTTTAGGGTTTAGGGTTCAGGGTTTAGGGTTTGGGGTTTAGGGTTTAGGGTTTGGGGTTTTTTTTCGCTCCCGCATAGCTGGCCGAACCGCAAAGCAGGGTGACGTCGATGATACTACTGTGTCGGAAAAAGGGGTCCAACACCAGACCCGACCTTCCATTCTGCCTGCCAGTTCCCGCCTATCAAAACCAAAAACAAAACAAGAACCAGTAACAACAAGAAAGTACATAAGTCTCCCAAAACCCTTCAACGTCGGGAAATGGCCGCTGCCTCGCACTACCACGCCAACTGCAGATGAGCCCACTTCCAGTCAAACCACCAAAGGATGGCATATACATCAACTAACAAAGAGACAGGGACTCACTGAGGCTACCCGCGTTTTTGTACAGGCCTGAAATCCTCCTTCTATCAGGATTCTGCCAACCGGCAGAGGGTGCTACATTCCAACCAGAGTGCAAACAACATTATCAACAAGCAATAAATCCTTCATTCTTCATTTCGTAGTCCCCAGGCCGAAGGTTCTGTCAACATCCAGCGAATTCAGGTGACACCATTCTGCAGCTCCATCGGAGCCAGCTTGAAAAGCCTCGCTGTCGCACGATCCCCCTGAAAAGCAGGACTCATCTGAATTCAGATTGATAGCACCGCGTGTTCACAAAGGTCACACACGAAATCAATTCCGTTCTGTGTATGAATTCTTTCACGAATGTAACTGGCGTCAAATTAGCAAATTGAAACGTCAAATTCCGCGCAAGCTACGAATTCCATGAATTCATGAATTCTGAATTCAGGCATGAATTCTTTAATTAATTCGCGAATTCTGGAACGACAACATGCATCAGTGGCACCATCGCGACACCCAACTACTCAAAACAGAAACAAAGAATCCACCACAAGTTCTGAACAAAGAAACCACCTCTAGTCAATGAACCACAAGCGGTCCACTCTCGATCCACTCATGCCCTGTGCATGCTCCACGCGCCGTCACTCTGGGCACAACTTGGCACATTTGCTCAGAAAGAGGGCAAGGCTAGGCAGCTCGAGTGTCCACCTATCATCAAACACTAAAACACCAACATAGATCCGGAGCCCCATAGAAGAATCCCGCACCAGTACCCCCAACCCACATAGATCCCAACAATGTCACAACATAACACACCGCTGCTGCTTGTGTGCGTGTGTGCTCTCGGCACGCTCTCTTTGTTTGAAAAAGGCAAGACGAAGCAGTTCGGCATCGGCATTCAAACCATCATCAAAAACGAAAACACCTACATAGATCCTAAGCCCACATAAAAGGTGCCCAAAACAGTACCCCAACCCACATAGATCCAACCAATGTCAACACTTATATCCGACTCCGATACGTTCAGCTCCCCTCACAGCATGCACCCTCAGACTCTCTCGACCACCACGTGTACGAGCGATGAGCATGTGTCGCACCCGCCCTTCTTCCAGCATCGAGCCAGTGTAGGGAATGTTCCTTGCTTGTCTTGTACGTCGTCGGCTGAGTCCCATCACTTGTTTGTCTCTCCTGCAGTGCGGCAAGCCCTTGCTCAAGGGTGAAGGTGCCCTTGCCGCAGGTTTCCAGTTTCGACCAATTTGCGTCCAGGCTTCGTCTTTTCAGGACGAGTAAGGGAGCACGTGGGGGCTGGTTTGGGGTTTAGGGTTTAGGGTTTAGGGTAAGTTTCGGGTTTCGACGTTCGCGTGTAGGGTCTAGGGTTTCCCGTTTTTTCTACAACTGGACCAAGGTACATGACCTACTTCGCATGCTTACATGCATTGTAGATGGTCAGCCACATATACTTGCTAGGCGCACATAGCCATGTACAAAGAGAGTACATCTAAACAGGCTCTGCCCCCTCTCTCCCAAATCTTTTTTGAATCTAGAACTGCCAAATCCTCAGCCCCAAACCCTAAACTACCCTAAGCCCTGAACCCTCAACATCCGAAAAAGCGTAATCCCCACAAAACAGCCGCGCGCCTGGGGGTCCGCCTCCGCCATGAGGGTCTTTGCCTCGCAAAGGTGGCGCTCGGACTCGAGTCCCTTGGCCATCCTCGGGTTGTTTCGACTCTCACACTCGCACAAGGCCTTGCCGCTGACCCCCACTACCAAAACATGCCAAATACTCAAACACTAATACACCAGACCCTCCCTCTTGGGGTCTGCAGGTTTTGCTACAACGACTAGATTCCGCAACACCGGAAACTCACTGTGCTCCTCTAAAAGTCCTCCCTCCGACCCTTTCAGCCGGCACCTTCCGGGCTCAGCACTGGCATTCACTGGCTTGGCTCTAAACCGACATCCACATGCTGGCCTGACCCTCGGGTTGTTTAGGGTTTATAGGGTTTATAGGGTTTATAGGGTTTAGGGTTTAGGGTCTAATATGGGGGTTTACGAAAATGAAAGACCCCTAATGTAGACCCCCAAATAGTAGGATGCCCTTATATTCAGGACCCCAAAAGGTACCCCTAACATCGTAAAACCCCATATTATTACATGGACTATGAAGGGAGACTACTAGCAGTTATTCCGACCCCCGTATTAGAGTGGTGTTGGGTTTTTTTGGTTGACAGGTTTTGGGGTTTCAGGTTTAGGAGCTTAGGGTATGGGGCGTTCTTTTCTGGCAGCTTCGGGTGGTTATTAGGGGGCTTCACGGGACTTCGAAGAGGCTGAGATCCCATCTTCGCAGTTTTTTGTTTTGTTGCTTCCTCCTGCTCCCTAAACCCTAAACCACGCACTGCCAGGTTCTACCACGTAGAAGGGAGCGTTGTTCTAAAACCATGGTCTCGGGGCCCAAATCTGACAGTACTCTCCCTACAGTTCTCAGGCTTTGCAGCAGGGTTGGGGTCCCTTCTTGACAGATCCCTCTTCCGGTGTAGTCCTTCTAGTTTAGGGTACCAACCACCGTCCAAATAATTTTCGAACAGCGCCCCACCCCCCCACATACTCATGACTTCCTCTGGGAGGGATCCCGCTGTAAGAATCGTAGGAGCGGCACACTCCAGCCGCAAGGAGCTAACGTCGAGCAGCTACAAACTGTCGAGATCTTGGGGTCAGTGAACTCTAGACCCTAGACCCTAGACCATAGACCCTGAACCCTAAACCCTAAACCCTGAACCCTAACCCTAAACTGCTGGGGAACAGGGCTCGTCTCAGCGTTCAGGGCATGTGCAAAGTCGGGGTCGAAACCAGCCATGGCGTGTCAATCGAATTCCCTTTTTCTCCACTCAGACAAAGCTGTCTTGCTGTGCATGATGGCTCCATGCCGTTGTTTTAATGGCTCTTTGCCTTGTGTACATACGTGTCACTGTCATGACGAAAAAGCGGCCCAAGGGTCCCTGCGTAGCCCACCCCTTGATGTGTACAGGACGAAAGCGGCGAGGTTGGGTCTTACATGCAGTTTCCCACTTTACAAGGCCTTCCCGACTCTGGCGCATCAACACTCCTCCTCATTTCTGGAGTGGGCGACAAAATGTCCACCGATGCGCTCCTTCTACCCCAGCTTCGGGTCATCGAACGGTGTCCGATAGTACAAGGGGTAACACTCAGCACAGAGCGAACAATACTGTATCTTCCGCAGCTTAGATTGATTTGCATGCCTCAATCCATGGCAGTTGGCGCGAACATGGACTCTGTCTCCATGCTCTGACATCACAAAGGTCTTCGGGAGGCACCTGAAATCCAGCCTCTCTTGGGCTGCCTGTCTTACAGTAATGTTGCTTCCTTCCGTGCTCTGGGCTGACGTTGGGGCTGAGGACGAAGATGCAGCCGCAATGTCTCTTACCTGTCCATGAGAACAGTCCACGACGGCGGGCACAGGGACTTGGTGGTGCGGCTCCTCATCCAAGGTGTCAAGTTCCCGACGTAGTGCCCGAGCGGCTTGATCCCTTATCTTCATCAACTTCTGGGCCTTCTTCAACGCCGCTCCTTCTTGGGTTCCCCACATCCACCCCACCATCTTCTTGAGGAACTCCCACACGCCGAGCAATGCTATGCCGCCGACTACCAAGCATGCATAAAACTCCACGCTCCCATCCAACTCCACAGGTCCCTTGATCTCCTTCTCAGCCTTGGCACCTTGCACCATTGTCATCGCGAGCATCACCGCCATAATCCGTATCGCCTCCAATCTCGTAGATGTAGAGCGACGCCCTTTTTCATCCTCATGACCCTTGAGGAACTCATCCACGGTGACCATTCCCCAAAGTGCTCGTAGAACTTGTAGTCTTGGGGTGGGTACTGGCTTGGTACCAAGATCCGCGGGTTGTCCTTCCCCAGGTTCGTGGTGTAGAGTTACCCGCTGTGCAAGGACTTCTTGACGAAGGTAACGCGCCCTCACCCTTAGGTGACGTGTTTTCCATGTCCCCGGCGCGGTGCTAGCAAGCCCCAAGGCAGCAGTGTTATCTACCTTGATGGACTGGCACAAGTCCTTCTGCACTTCGGTGGCCCACGCCTGGATCCCCAGGCCCAACTGGTGCGCGGCGATCAGCTCGTACAACTCCGCCTCTGCCGTAGAGAGGGTGATCAGCGCTTGTTTTGTCATCCTCCATGCCACAAAACCACCAAAGAGGGCGATTGCCGAGCAGCCGAAAGACTTTCCCCCACAAGGGGCGAAGCTAGCGTCCGAAAAGGACACCACCTCTTGCTGTGAGCCACCATAGGTCAGGCCCATCCCCACAGTTCCCAGGAGATATCGACGTACTTGGTGGGCAAGACGGGTAGCAGCCAGCGGATTCCTCGTTGCCATGCTGCACACATAGCTCGTCGCGAAGCTTATGTCCGGCCTAGTCCGCGTTGCTAGCCATAGCAGCTCTCCGGCGGCTGCCTGAGCGGCCCGGACTTGTTCTTCCCCTGCTTCACCTTCCTCCTCGTCGCCGTCTTCCCAGTGTGGAATGAGGTCCTTCGTCGCGGGCACCGTAGCTGGGTTCTCAGCTTCCATGCCATACTCCCGAATGAGGTCGGTGATGTATCCTCCTTGGCTGATGTGGTATTGTCTTTTCCCATCGCACACTCGGCTCTGCACCTCCATACCAAGGTATCGCACAGGTCTTTGCCCGACCCATTCTTTTTATTCCAGCTCCGAGCACTTCCAGCCTTCATCACCGTCACCTCCCTTTGTCAACCACGCGTACATGTTCTTGATCTCCTCTCCTCCTCCCAAGAACAGCACATCGTCGACGTACACAATCATCATCGCAATGGTCTCCTCCTCATCGCTTAGAGGAACTAACCTCCACAGTGCCGGGTCCGTCTCCATTTGCACGAACTTGCACTCCTTGTGCCCAGCGCGGATTCTGGCCCTTCTGATCCTGCGATCCCGAAAGTTTCCCCATAAGCGCGGCGCCTCCTTCAACCCATACAAAAGCCTCTCCACCCGGTATGCAGTGTTTGGAGGTGCGCATCCAGCATCTACGATCACCTTGGGGACTGTGACCGCATACTTCACACTGGACTCCGACATCGGGGTGAGCGTGAACGCCGAATTGATGTCCGTGATGGCCGCTTCCCAGTTTCTCTGAGCGGCAAAAGCCACCCCACACCGCACACTCTCCGCGCTGGCCGCTGTTGTGAACACCTCTGTCTCACCCTTGATGTAGTTCCCGCAGATAACCAATCTTGTTTTCCGCTTGAAGAGGTTGACTTTGTTGTCGTCCACGATGTCGGTGGCATGTTCCCTTTCCTTTGAGGGCTCCTCTTCCTTCTCATCTTCGTTCTCTTTCTTGTCCTTGACCGCGGCAACATCAGGTGGTTTCACCGTGTGTACAGTCTTGGCCGGCACCAGCGTGACTTCTCCTCGTTCTTGTAGTCGTTTCGCCTCTGCGAGTGGAATGGGCACCAACGTTCCATTGCCTTCCAGATGATTTACCTCCTTTGCCATGCTTGGTATCCATTCCGGTAGATGAGCCTTGACTTCCGGAAGAGAAACTGTGTGCGTAACCGTGAGTGGCTCCTTCAGCTCCTTCAAGATGCCCTCCACATTTTCCGTGGTTACATCCGCGGCCAACTTCGCGAGCCGGATCCTCTGGTGAGTCGCCGCCTTGATCGATTGCTCCTGCCGCTCCGTCGAGTCCTCCGAGAGAAGCTCTTGAACAAAGTCTAACTCCTCCTCTGCGTCGATAATCTTCTCATTCATCGACTCATCTGCTCCACCACCCTCTTCTTCACGTAGATCCGCACACCTTTCTTCATCCACGATCAACGCCCTCAATGCCATAGCTCTATCCTCCAACCACCTCCGTTCTTCCCCTTCAAGCGGCATGGCTGGCACCGGGTCCAATTCCTTCTCACCGCCCTTCTCCTCCTCTGGCTTGTAGCTCATCGACCATTTCGTCTTCAAACTGATCCGGCCCCCAGGAACAACGAGTTCATCTTCTCGCTCACCTCCAAGGCCCTTTCCAGGTTCATCACGACGACGGTCCACTTCCTCTTCTTCCTTCGGAGGGGTAACGGGCCAACAACCAAGCTCTTGCAAATACTTCACCTTCTCATGCTCCAACTTGTGCGCTGCAGCAATCGTGAAGCCCACGACCAACACCCTTGGACCATCCTCCCCAAGCACTGGTTCATGTAGTCGTGAAGGGTTCACCTCTTGTGGCCGCGAAAGCTCCACCACCTGCCCAGGTACTTCTTTCCCATTGAACCATCGTGGCTCGTACCTTCCCTTGAACTCATCACCAATCTTCATCTCCTGCCATATTCCACTGCCTCTCGTCACCTTCAAAGGAGAGACCAAATTGCTCGACTCCTTCTTGTTGTAGCTATCTCGGTGGATTGGCATCACGGCGTTCTTTACCAGAGCTATTGATGTGAAGTCCTTGTTCGGGAAGTCGTGGCGAAGTAGCGCTGAAGCCAATCGCACCACCTCTTCATGCTTTTCGGTCGCCTTGGTGATGCTCACAATTCCGCCATGCTGGTACGCTCCCAATGTCAGATAAGCTCGGTCCTCCACTGGGCCAGGGACTTCTCGCAGCTGCGGCCGCTTGGCTGCAGCTTCCTTGCTTTCCCAGATATCCGCCACCAGCAACTTTTCCACCAGCTTGTTTCTTGGCTCA